TGAAAGATAACTTTTTATTTTTTTGCATGAAGTCACATGTCAATGGTGCTGATATCAGTGTACAAAGTATATGGATTTTTATCTAGCTGAGGAAGATGTTAATACATCTCCAACTCTTTGGTAAAATTTCTATCTATATCTGCAATATTAAAACACATGCGGCGTGGGAGAGACAACAGGTCTACTGTTCCCAAATCCTCACAGAACAGTGTAAGATCTCCTTTAAAGCAGTAGTATATCATATCCTAGGACATGCTCTGTACAAAAGAAAAAAAAAAAAAAAGAAAAAAAAAAAAGAGTTAAATCACTAATGAATACAGCTTTTTAGCAGTAAAAAAAAAAAAAAAATTCAGCCACCTGGCTTGTTTGCATTTAGTCCTGAGATTAAGTTTATTTGTTGCTTTTCATATATCCTTTCCTTTCAATGTCTGCCTACTACAAACCAGACTTGGAATCAGAAATTCCAGCGGCCGGCTCACTTTCACTACTTGTTTTTACAGCTGTTTCAACACTAAGATCATAAAAATAAATTGCAGAAATATCAGGGTGCTGGCACTGGATGCAGAGAACAGTGATGTGCAAACAGTATGTAAACAACACATGACAAAGTGTGGAATTACATCAACATACTCCAAGTCCTCTCAGTCTCATAAGAGGAGGCAGAAAGCCATGCATTTTCAGCACTAAGTGAGAATATTCCTCAAACTCATCTTCTCAACAGGAAACACAACTTGTACTTGCTACCAGAGTCAACTCTACTGACTTGGCCAGCCTCCAACTTAGGTAATGACCAGAACTGAATAAATTCTATTCTATATATTCATTTGGGGCTGCCTGTGGGCTCACTCTCCTGGGCTGGTCTGGACATCAGGAGTGCAAAGCAAACAAAATGAGAAATGTTCCCTGACACATTGGCTTTGCATCAACATCTCCTGGTCCACGGAGACCATCACCATCTACCACTGCTGGCCTCAATCCAACCTTCTTCTGATCCCATAAAGCCACTTGCCTCTCTCACTGGTCTGTCCATAAGGCAACTAACTGCACTTATGTTCTCCTTGCCAATCTGGAAGGTCTGTGCCAGCAGCAGGCACAGAAAGCAGGGAAGTGTTTCTCCTCAGCTACTACTCACTCAATACTTGAATTATTAAATTGGGCATCTCCCCCAGATCCCAACATTTTGCCAGGAAATAGTCAGAGAAACTCATTAAAGCACACCAAATCCAGCTACAAGAGTAGTCACAGGACTGCATGAAGATCATCTGTTTGGCAAGAAACACCGGTGGTTTGCACCCAGTGTTTTTCTTCTCACTGAAATTTCTCATGGCCAAGATAGCACATTTCAAGCATGCAAAATATCAGCAGAATTTGCTTCCAGTAACTCTTCATCTTTGCCACTGCTCAAATGCTGTTCTTTGCAGCCCAATGTCAGCCCAGCACAAAATGGAAGCTGCTAGAGTGCCTGCCCCAGATCCATACTCTTTCAGCCTGTCCCATCCATTCCCTTGCTCTCACAAAGGAGCAGGCACACACAGCACTGGACAGACATGACTTCTCTACACCAAACACGTGGACAGATAGGCAGTAAGAGGCTGCAATTTTGTAGCAACAATAGGCTTGGTTATTGATGAACATATCTGCCAAATACATATACACACAAAATTCATAAAAGTCTTTGTGATACAATGGTGCTATGTAAAACTATATTAATACTTCAGCACATACACCTCTTTCCAAGTGATGTCTAGTTTTGGGTTCCCTTTTTCCTAAGAAGCTACACAGAGCATAAGTCTGAGTTTATTGGTATCTTTCAGGTTCAGAGTTGCTGCCTTCAACCAGTGAGTTTCCTTTCAATTTATTTTTTATTTAGTCCTAGTCCTTCTTAAAATCATTTAGTATGTGAAAACACTTGTCAGCATTCATCTTGCTTGTAATACATCCCATGGCACCTGAATCTCTGCTGCAACAGAGGCACGAGCTTGTAAGCAACTGCTGCAGGAAGCAGAAGACTGGCCTATTTCCCACCATTAGGATACTTCAAATCACTGCTACTCATCTGTTGTGTCAATGGGATATTGCACACGGAAGGAAAAACATGTCAAAGAGGTAAAAACATACTTCATAACTTTCTAAGCTGATTCTGTTTGTACTTAGCATTTTTACATTGCATGGAGCATGTCTCAGTTTCTGTCACTGCAAGGAGAGATTTTACAGCATCCCTTTCTTGCTCTTTTCCAAAACCTGCAGCAGTGTATTTGCCAGTAGCTTTCTGCCACAAACTTTTAGCACAGACATTATACATTTATGCAAAAAGTTTTCTGAGACATCTAACAAACCTCTTGGAGCACTGGCAGTAACGATGCTAGGCACAGATCATCTGGCTGTTCTGCATTCCTCACTCTCACTTTTGTCCTAACAGGGACAGCCTGAATATATTTTGCTTGAAAGAATTTTGATTCCAAGGCCTAAAGAATTACTCCTTAGGCAATAAAAAAACTGTGAAGAGGTGTTATCAGCAGTCAAACGCCACTGCCTGGTGAAACTGAGGGAAAGACATCCATTACTTTTTCAATACATTTTGGGATCAGTTCAAAAACCAAGACCAAATAACTTTGCCAGAAAATTGAGGGCTTGGTCAAATAAAACTCCTTAGTACCTCATTTGCATTTTCATGTCAGAACCTTCTAACACATTCTTAGACCAGCCAAAACCTTTACAAGCCTCTGTTTTCTTACAGGAATTCAGACACAGCTCTAAACAGCCCAAATAAAATGAGACATGAAAATTTATAAAGAATGTAAGATGACATTCAACTTCTTGTGAATTACAACAGGAATTAGTTAACAAATTTGGTCAGGGACTTTTGAAAACATCCACTTCTCTGTGTGTATATTTATTTTCTGTGATAATGACTAGTGTTAGTAAACGTGTACATAGTTTTGTAAAAGTAAAGCAATTGCAGCCTTTCTGTTACTGCAGCATCACATCACACTATCAGATCAGCATTTAGAGCAATTTTCACAGCTTTAACTTTTCATACCCTTGCCATTCAGTCCTATTCTGTGAAAATCCACACAGCAGCTTTCTCCATTCTTGACCTCCCACCACTGCTGTGGCAGCAGAAGTCATGACAAAATTCCAAAGCTAAGAGTACTTTGTTGATCACAGATTCTCTCCTGACACCTAGAAAGGACATTTGGTTCTCACCATCACTTCCTAATCCCACTAACTTTTTTGGGTGGAGATGGACTCCACCTGTAGAAGACTTGTGTAACTGGCAGACATTTGCACACAAGCTGTCTGGGTATCGTTTCTCTGGTACAGATACACCATACCTGATTTAGGAGTGGCTCCAAAATGTCACAGCACAGGAAAGGGTTTTGAAGAACTTCAGCAACAACTTCCAAGGATAACACTATCTCTGTTAAGCGTTTTTGCATGCTACCCACTATGTATATATCCCCCCAGCTTTTTCCTCACATGGTAGCACACAGTTGCAAGACAAGGTTGCTGCTACCAAAGCGACTGGAAAAGTGAAGGTGTCCCTGTTCATTGCAGAAGGATTGGACTAGGTGACCTTTAAAAGGTCCCTTCCAACACAAAACTATTCTATCACTAGAATGGAGTGGTCCTTAAGCTTCAAGGTTTCTGCCCAGACTCCCATTTCAAATGTGTTATTCTGCACAACAAGCAATGCTAGAAGTAAACTGCATACAGCAGAAGATCAGCTGTAACTATCTGTAGAAGCTTCAAAATCAACAGACAAGGCAATAAAGAGCCTCTGATAGCTGAAAGGGTCAAGTGATGCAAGATGGACAAAAAAAATGTAGAACAGCTGACAAGTCTCAGGAGCTGAAATACTGAGCAGTGAAAAGGTCAGGGAGCAAGTCAAAAGCAGCATCTGGAACAGCTGAAAGACATTTCAAGCCCCAGATGTCTCTTCCAACCAAAGGGTAACACTGCCTCTGAATATCTGACACTGGAAATACATAAACCCTGTTTACAGCTTCATGCTGTAAAAGTAGTAGAAAGTAGTCGTAAGGACAGCTTAAAAGTAACTAAATTCCCACATGTGAGGGGTGAATACTTCAACAGATAACAGCTTCACTTACAAAAGAATTGATTAAGAGTTATGTCCAAGCATGACCTCAACAGATGATCTCTCAAAGTATAAAAATAATCTCTAGCACCACTCTTTGTTCTCAAAGACTGGTGGCAAAAGTGAATCACTGAGAATGAAACAAGGCTGAATGCTTTTTCAGGAAATCCAACACAACAGGACTTTCTATGTTGTCCAATTCACAGCAGTTCAGACCTTGCACATTCCTTATAAAATTCACCAAGAGACTTAAGATGCTACAAATGACATTCACTAAATATGCTGCCAAGCAGCAAAAATACATTTCAGCAGCAAAAACCTCCTCCCAAATCTGCTGCAGTACTTGCAAATCAAAGGAGCTCACAGGCTCTGCAGAAAGAGCTTGTAGCTGCTGGAGAGTGGGAGGAAGAATGACAAGTGTGGTGCTGCCGGCAGCACACTTCGAACTCCTCTCTTGGTCAGAGCAAATGTAGTCCCAGCAAAGTCCCAGCTTTGGCAAAAAGTACTGGCAAGTTACTGGTTGGCAACATCTCTCCGGATACTCAGATGTTCAGAGCAGGAGGAACCTTATCTCTGGTGCCTCTATAGAAGCCTCAGGGGAAACAAAGGAAGGCTCAACCCACCTCAACTCAGCACACAATGACCTTTAAAGTTCAAATTTGACAAACAGAAATCAATGGACTTATTTTGAACCTATTTGCTATGAACATTTCATACAAAATTACTTCCTCTGCTTTGCTATGCACAATGTAATGTTTATCCCTTTCAGTAAACGAAGTTAAAGTAGCAGCAGCACTTGGTGATTTGCTGAGAGATTCCTCTGAAGCAAATCTCTCCCACTTCCATGTGTTCCCCAGAAGGATCATGACATCACAGATGTGCATGTGGGAACATTCTGCCCCCAGTGTACCAGGGGAACTGATGGACTTACAGCCTGTGCCTGCCTGCTGTCCTGTATGCATCCAGAGGAGTACATGGATATTAAGCAGGTAGGCACATACTGTACACCCAGCCTCAGAGAGTATCTTGACACTGTCCCAACTCGAACACAGGCAAGTCAGAACCAAAGGCTCAAACTTGGCAACCTCAGAGGTGCATCTGCTTCCATTCCTACTAAACTTAGTACCAGAGCCAAGATTTGTGTCCTCTCTGCATGCCAACCCCAGCAGGACCTAAACTTTAAATAGACCTACTTTTAAACAGGAATCAGTATCCTTTTAATGCTGTTCAGAAATGTTTTATGGTAATTGCCTCTGTCACTTAAAAACATTAACCATACTGACATAAATTTCCATGCTAGAATACTGGAGACAATATAGTCAAAATTTTTAAAAGCAGATGTGTGTCTTTCCACTGAAAAAGCCAACTCTAAATAAGCACCATTACTTTGCAGTTGACATTTCCATCTTCTGTCCAGGAAAAGCATTAATTCATACTTAAAGAACTAACTTTTCACTTTTTTAATACCAAGTTTACATCAGAAAAAGAGTCCACAATCCTCCCTATGTATTTCAGAAATCAGCAGAGTGTGTCATGCCACCTAAATTGTTTTAGTAAATGAAAAATAACATCATTGTGGTATTGCCCTTTCCAGTACAGCTCTAAGTAAAGTGAATACTGTCCCTGAATTCCTAAATCAGCACAAACACAATCCCTTGACTCTAAAATTAATTCATATGGGGAAATGGAATAAATTCATGGGATCCTTATCCTTTAAAAGGTCAATCTGTGCATGGATGCTAACATCTACTTTTCCAGCTTGTACTAAAGGAACCATTAAGAGCAAAGCCAACTCTGCTGTGTTGCATCCAGTCTTTACACTCCACCATCATAACCCCCAGTTAAAAGGTGAGCACACATTCCCTAAAAGCATTTGATGTTCATGTGTCTCTTTCTAGTCACTACTGTGCCATACGAGCTGAAGGAGAAGCAGAACTAGAGTCAAGAACACTTCAGCAAGTAACCGGTTACTTTCAGTGACCTGAAAGCCAGCTGAAAACATGTAAGCATCTTTTACTGACACTGCTGCACCCAAAATGAAAAAAGGGAAAACCACATTGTTATTCACCTAAAAGGATTCAAAACCAGCAAACTTGTATATGTTACTTACCTACATAAAAACTTAAGGAAAACATTATGTTTAGATTCTTTTTTTTTTAAAAAAAAGCACCAACTAGTAGCAAGCAACATTGAGCACTCTCCAGGTTTTAGGCAGGCTACAAAAAGAGAAAGTGACACTAACTAGAACTAACACTTCAGAAAAATAGATGTAAAAGGAAAAGAAAAATAATCCAAAGATAGCGGGTCCTGGATCTGTAGGCACTTTGAGACTGTACTGAGCATGTTCATATTTACAGAGTTCAATTTATTAAATTTATCTAATTTAAGAGAGGCAAGGTATCCTGAGAATATAAATTTCTTCTGCTATGAACGACACAGTTCATTAACAGCATAAAATAGCATCAAGAACAAACCAGCAAAATCTCCCTTTTCTTATTAACTCCCTTCACATTAAGGAGAGTCTGTGTTTACTGTAAGTCACCATCTAAAGAGAAGAACATCAGCATGCCAAAGGGAAAGGAGGTATCACCTCCAGTCAGACAGGCTTTACTATTTCACATTACTGTAGTCAAAACAGCAGAGAAGCCTTGCCACCAATACCTCAAAAATGCCCCATCTCTCTCCATATGACCATGATGGCTCTGCACTGTTGCCTTTTTGATTTTTTGTTCTTTATTTTCACAAAGAAGAAAAGGACATCTTTTTTGCCTTGCTTGTAACCTTCAGATTATCTATGATCTGTTCCAACACTACCCTGCATTTCAAAAGCAACATGTTTCTTCAGTGCAGGAAACCAAATGAAGTTTAAATCAGGGTCTCACAAACTCAAGCAGCTCCTTCTTTGCCAAAGCACAGATTGTTTGAGGATTTCTTTTTGCAGAATAAGGTGCATTCTGGAAAGTATGAATTACATGAGTTGACTGCTAAAACAATCAGCACCACAGTTTATTCCATTTGCAAAGCCAGTTCAGTAGAGCTGGCTAAAAGCTACAACTGTGGCTTTTATTATTTTACAACTACCAGTTATGGACAATTTTTCCCAAGGAATCACACTCACAACTAAGGCCTAGAACAGACACTGCAGAAAAGCCAGAGTAAGGCAATTAAATTAATCCAGCCTCCTAGTAGTAACTTCTTACTTCCTCTTTCTCTGTATCTGCAGCCCCAACTACATCTTTACTTTTCATCTTCTCTTGATCAGATAATGATTTCTAAGTTGGAAAATAAAATCTCTAGGTATCAACCACATAGAAAGCAATTTTTACATAGAGCTGTGCAGTTTATCAACTTGAGCCATCATTCACCCAAATTTAGGAACCAAGTTTAATTAGAACAGATGCAGATGGAATAGGATTCTTCAGATTCTCTTCCAACAGACACAGTGGTTCTCAAGACAACGTTTCAGTCTTTACAAATGGAAAAAGATAATTAACACTTTAACAAAATAGATTAGCCAGTGCAAATAGACACCATTGTAGCAACTGTTGGGTTTTATAGAATACACATAGAATATGGTGCTTTGGGAGTTTGCAGAACAGATACCCTGGTTATTGTCTTGTGACCTGACTTCTCTTCTTATATTAGCTCTGGCAAAGCATTTCTAATTCTTCACTTTTTTGTTTTCAATTATTCCTAAGGTCTTTGTCTTTTCGAAGACAATACTGCTGGTGCCGCTTCAGAGCTGTTAAGTGTAAACAGCAAGACTCATCAAAAACATTTATTTGACCTTGCATTTCCTAACAAAACAGCCCTGGAAGTTTCAAGTAAATAAAAAAAATCACTTTATACATACAATTTTCAAGTTGATACAAAGGAAAAACAATCCAGCAGAGATAACAGATGCCAGACATTGTTTGTGGAAGGCATTCAGCTTCACAGCAATAGGCTGGTGAAGGAGTCTGGACAAAACACATACAAAACACACCAATGCCTACAAGCACCAACACACTTTGCCTCTTCAGATGATGAAATTTGCCACGTGTTTCAGAAAAAAAAAAAAAAAATTTGCTAATCCAGTTGCTCTTTGTGACTAGGCACCATAAGAGAGCAGCATCACCTACCTGCCTCCTGAAGAGTCTAAGTATCAGCTACTGAGATCTCAAACATCACCAAGTGTCCCTTGCCAGGATATGGGAGAAAGCTCCAGGAGCAGCTGGCTCACTCAGAACACGCAAGATCCCCACACAAATACCTGCAGCAGGAGCAGGCAAGCTGCAGCAGGAGCAGGGCTCCTCTGCCCTGCACCAAGAGCTAAGTGGAACCACAGCTGACCCAATGGTTTTGTTGTGGGCTCACCGCAGCCTTCCAGCTCAGCCCACACCAAAGAGATACGGACCCAAAGCCACAAATAAATACAAGCAGCTAAACTTGGACACCTCCGCTTTGCACAGAGGAACAACTCCACTGTGATGCTCTCACTCGCACATCACTTGCAACTCTACTTCACCAGGAACAAAAAACATGTTTCCAGCATTCCAGCTCTCTGCTAAATTGGATGCAGATGATGAAGGGTTTTTTTCCAAACATATGGAAGACAGGGCAGCTGAAATCTCAGCTAGGCCTTGAGAGATCCTGTGCATAAGGCATTAAGCTTTCTACAACACACAAGGAATCTAGGCAGCAACTACTATGATTTCATTTCAGAGTGTGATTTAAGATGATATTATGAGACAGAAATGTTAAAATAAACTAATAAAAGCCTTTCATATACTCTCAAAGTCAGATGTTCATATGCCATGTATCTGGACAACCTCTGCTTTCAATGGAAGCCTGATCTCCACTTCAAAGGGAGGAAATTAGACAAAAGGGAAAAGAATGTACACCTCTCAGTACTGGAAGCCCCAGGAAACCCAGGACCAAAGGACTAAATCCATCACTTTTCCAACACCCCCAAGACAGACAAGCCTACAAGATGTTTAACCAAGAGAGAAATAAAAGCACAAGCATTTGCAGACCTCACTCTCAGCCACCAGTACATAAACTTCGCTCATTCTATTTTTTTGAGTAGCTACAGCATAGCAAAAAACATTTCTGTACATCCACTGCTAATGTAACCTGCTGATTGCTTTGAAAAGAAGCCATTCCCTCCACCAAGCGTAGGTGGCTTTCTTGTTTTAATTGGTGTTGCAGACAGGATGTATGTTTAATTTTCTCAGTGTTTAGTCTGTCCTCAAATATTAACATAACAGTGACCACTGTGACTGAATCCAAAACATGAAAAGCAGAGTTAAGTCCCAGCTTCCAATGCTCCCCCCCACCCCCCCCCCCCCCCCCCGATATTGTAAATATCTACACATGGAAGTGTTTTAACGGTGAACAAATTCTTATTCTGGTGTTTCGTCCTTTGGTACACAGCTTGACAGGAACTAGTTTTATCTGTAAGCTCTGCAGGAAGTAGTTTGGACACTTGGAAGCAGAAATAAATTGTTCATGAGATACCTTGCTGTAGTATTTGCTGATTACTCAGAATTTTGTCTATCCATGCTGTGAGTTGATGCTTTAGTCCTTACACAGAATATATTTGAAATTGCTCCAAAGGAGCAGCTATTTCTGCCTTCAGTGGCACAAAAATCGTGTGACTAGCCTGAAAGTTCAACCATTACCACTGCATTTGCAAGAACACATGCACTCTGATGCTTGAAGAGTGTCAAATATTTCTTATCAGACATATATACACTTCACTGGGATAATTCACATGACCAAAACATATTAATGTGGTTAGTATTAGTGATTTAGCCACACAGATAATCCTGTTCACACTGAGACAGATTTCAGAAGATGAAGCTAATGAAGAAATTGCGTAAGTTTATTTCGTTCCAAAATCCTTGAAAACTTATCTGTGCATTGTTAACTCTTCCTCCTTCTCAACTCCAGTGACAAGACAGATATGACCAAATTCATCTGGAACCTTCACCAAAACTCACTGAAAAATACAGTCAGTTTTAAAGCTAAGTGGAAGGCATAAGGAGCTAAATCACCATTAAGTACTTCTACTTAATTCCATCACTATTATCAGATTTCTGTAGAGACTGCACCAGTTATCCCTAAAAAAAACCCCATCTTTTACTCCCTAAGCAAATAATTGAAAAATTACACACTGCTCTTTAAAGCTTGTCGAAGAACCTAAAAAGTTTGAACATGTTTTTTTAAATCATTTTTAATAGTTTTATAGACTGTTTTGGTAGGTTTGTTTTGGGACTTTTTTTTAGTTGTTCTAAAGCCATTTTGAAAAACTAGTATGAGTGGAAATCAGGCATCAGTTCATCTTCTGGATCCAAGAAACTGCAGGTAGAAGAAGAGAGCGTGTGATGGATTTCAAAGCATCACCTTTTGCCCTGCCCCCTCTTCAAACTGTTCTTTTGTAATTTCACCTCAGTTTATTTTCTTCTTCTCAAAACTGGCAAATAAGTATTCCCTTTATAAATATTTTTGTACAAGGGAAATACATTCCCAGGAATTTACTAGGCAATTATTTGGCTAGTACTCTTTCATGCAGCTCAGTCACACAGCTTTTCCTGCACAAATACCCACGCAGGGGATCCCAGCATAACACTGGCACAGCTGTGCTCAGCCCTCCACAGCTCCACACCTGGTTCCACAGCATAGAAATGTAAGGGAGGGAGGGCTAAAACTCCACCTGCCCCTCTCAGACAGTGCCAGGGAAGCTAAAACCACTCCAGCCTTCTACCCCCACCTCCTCCCAGACCTGCACACCAGAAAGAACAGTGTAAGAAAATTTTCCTGTCCACACTAAGTGGTTCATTTCTCAAAGAAGGGTAATGAGCTAAGAATGCACAGGTTTTGTAACCCAAAAGAAAAACCTGCCTGCTGTCCCTTTTGCCATTTTCACTGGCTAGTTCTGTAATAAGAGTGATAATATCTACCACAGTCATGGGTACACCATTTATGGCAGAAAATGGCACAAAAGAAACTGAAGAACAGTATATAAAGAAGTAGCAGCTATATTTGTCATGGCAATCACCTAGTAGTACATTTCTGTATGTGAATTACTGCCAAATCCAAGCTCAAGTACACATAAGAGCTCCTGAGAAGACTGTTAAAAGTGCAATTATTATTACATTTTTACTGAGCTTTAGGAAATTGTCAAGAACCCCCGTCACCTGTCTCATGCTTTTCTCATCTCAAACTTGAATCTGAGTCCTACTTTTCATTTAACCTCATCATTTCAGATACGTTCCATTATCCTCAAAGTGAACACACACTATATTATTTATTATATTAGTTTAAAACATGCTCTCAAAATCAAGCAATGATTGCACCAATAGGAACCAAACAACATGAAAAAGTGACACACTTAACAACAGCTCCCCTGTGCAGGCAGAACTCAACTTCAACTCACAGCAGATGCTGAGGGAAACCTGACCATGTCCCTGTACTACAGTTTATATGGAGGACTAAGCCACAATTTATCCTTTGAATTACTCAACTGTGAAGAACACAAAGTGAAAGGAAAAAAAAGAAAACAGATGTCACCACATCTAATAGACAAAGGAAAGTTTAGACACATCTGGATATCATGAAAGCCAAATACTTTTAATATGATTTCCAGTTCTTCTCTTTGGCAAATATGCATTAGATGTCCTAAAATCTAATCCCAAATTATTTGGATTAGTTTAGAAATACACACCAAAAAACCCACAATCACCAGGGAAAAAAAAAAAGAGGGGAGGGGAGAAATTTTCTGCTGGGAAAAAATCCCATAAGCAGCACAGTGCGCAATGGAATTTTTAAAAATTCGGAAACAGTTGTAAGATTTCAACACAAAGAGTTGTAAGATTTCAGCCTTCCAGAACAAAGCTGGTTTTATTATCTTTATTCTGGTTCACTGGAGAATTTTACTTTCTTTTTCCTGTAAGGAAGGAGGGACATAAGTAGCTCTCACAGCACCATGACATTTCCTGAGAGACTGCCAAGGAAACTGGGGTTTCCCAAAAGATATCTCAAGTCTGGGACCTGGGGGCATCCTGGCATAAAATTCATCTCATGGTCCAGGTTTCCAGAAGAACCCACCATTCAAGCAGCCCATTCAAGTTCAAATATGCAAAGCAGAACTATAACAAGCTGTACTAGCATCCTTGGGAGAAAAAAAAAAAAAAAGAAGGTTCAGATAGTGGTAATTTGGAAGTGATGGAACAATTTGCAAAAACTAACATGAATTTTCCCTTCCTATCTTCCTATTCTAAGGCAGTGAGGTGATTGCTCTTGGCTATCCAAGCCTAGACAGCTTGCCTTTAAGATTTATAAGACAATCTGATCCTCACAAGAACTGCAAAAATCACATTCGAAGAACAAAATAAACAGAGAACACACTACAACTCTGACCTATTTCTCACAAGATTCACATTTGAAAAATACTGTTTACCTTCTCTGATAAAAACAGCCTGGAAGGAATACAGCATAAATATAGATCTTTTCTCTGCACTAAGTTCCCTAACAGTGGTAATATATAACAAGCTATTTGCAAACTTGCTTTCCAATTCAATATGGAAAACAATATGCCATATCAATACATCAACATCTTGTTTACCAAGTTCCATTTTTCTCCACAACAGAGCCAGCTTGGCAGGCATTCAGGGCAGGGGAAAGGAGATGAGCATTTGGTCAGACTGACACCCTGACAGCCAAGAACACAGAACATTCCACAAATGTTGGACGGGTGCAAACAGCAAGGAGCAAAAACAGCTTTAATGAGGGGGTGACACAGGTCGGCTCACTAAGGCACGCAAATCAGTGGCTCAATAAATAGACCACAAGTATCACTGGCAGCAAGATAAACCAAAGTTAACCTTCCCACAACAAGCCTGAGTGAGCAAATAGACCCTTGTTCAGAGAACAAAAACAAGCACCACTTTCTACTGCACAGCAAAAACCTCCAAGAGTTCAGTGAGGACTACTCCTCTGAAATCAAATCATTTCTTCAGAGCCAGAAATTCATGCACACCATGCAACACAAAATCAGGTCGTCTATGCTCTACACCTGCATCCAAATTTGTACTATAAAAAAGTGCCCTGAATAGTACTCAAACATTTTCATCATCCAGATGACAATTCCATTAACCCAAAGCTGACAGTAATATTTCTACAAACCGTCTCACTACCTAATTCCACTCTATGGAAAGAAATCATCCCATTTTTATACTGTTTTGTATTATGACATCACCTACCCTGCACAGGTCAAACCAAAGGATTCAAGCATATGAACAAATCCATGGATGTGTGATAGACAAAAGAGCAGTAATGATAAGCGTTTTTACTTGTGAACAAATAAAATAATTTATATTCCATGAACTGCATGACTTTATTTGCAGGAAGTTTACCTCTTTCAGTCTGCAGACTGTAACAAACAAGTGGAATTACCAAAAAACTGTGTTGCACATTTTTCAACTCACTACTGACTCAATACTCAGATAATTTTACTCTGCTCACGTGAGTCTTCTTTTATTGGGATGTGTTGCCTTTTTTTCTCAGCAATACTTCTTCTGCCCTTTTTATTTGGTTTCAATAGATGTTGAACACAATACAAATGGAAGTTTTCTTTAGGGAAAAATCATCTCAGCTACCAAAAGCCCAGAACAAATGGATCTTCTGGTCATGAACTAGATCCCTCATGCAAATAGAACACCAAGACAGTGTCAGCAACACTTCGGATAACAACATTAACACTTAGTCCAATGGTGACAGCTTT